ATATGAGTTTCAAGTTATATAATAAAAAAATTCTACACTTGCTAAATCTCACAAGTGTTAAAAGATTAACATACCAAAGTGAAAGGACAAGGTCATGCAATTGTTGCTCCAATAGCGTTTCCAATCATAATGAACAATCCATATGGTCTAGCCAAAGGTTCCCTCCTTTATGATGAACAACATCCCCAACATACAAAAACACGATTGAAGAATAAGATTATAAGATTTTATTAAGATCTATAATAATCTTGTAAGATAAATGATTAAACTTGACCTCATCAACTCCATATTCCCCAAGTTGGATCAAAGGGATATGAATCATATTGAATAAGAACGTCCAGTAATTAACTACAGAAGTATTTAGCTAGCTAAGTAACTACTTTACCCTAGGAATGGAACGGAAAGGAGGAGTTTGCATGCATACCTTAAAGGCACCAAGACGTTGTCTTCGGTATTACCCACATATCCTATAGTTTACCGAATCCCCCATTGTGCTACTGTTTGTTTAACATAAAACACACACTCAACAACCAACCAACCAACCATATTTACACTAGCAAAGCAAAGCAAAGGAATTATAGTTACCTGTGACACAATAAGCAACACTACCCATCTACGTCATCATGTGCCAATTCGTATTCCAGAAGACAGGTTTCATAGTGTCTCCTTGGTGTATTTCCAACACTCTACCAATTAACAAGATTTATAAAATCAAAATCTATCATTTTTTTGATTAGATGCAATAGTCATGGAACAGGGGCTTACTGTCATTCTATTGGTAACTGTGTGGTTACGCATCTTTGAGAAAACCTACCCTTTCCAATTGATTCCATTGCCAACATGAAATTCTTCTCTTGAAACCACCTACAACAGGACAACAAAAGGGTAAATTTCCTTTTCCTATGTTGGAGAAGTGGAAATTCTAAAATGCATTCTAAAACACTACTTTATTTTAATAATTGGTTTTTAACAATCTTGTAAACTTCACCCTTCATCAACTAATTTAGAACTTCTATAAACTTAAGTAAATAAATGCATATGGAAAACTTAGTGTGTAAAAATAAACATATATATTATGGATTCAATCACCATTTGGTAACATACAATGCATTGATATTCGGCAGGAATACGGCTAGTCCTCCAAAGCCAATACAAATGAGTAAAGCAGATAACACCTTAAGTTATTGACAAATCATCATATGAACCAATTAATAATTCAAATTTTATACTTCAACTTCTAATCATGGAGGAATGAAACATCTTACTAAAAACCAACATTTATAATCATCTAATTCATTCCAACTAATATCACTCCAAGCGACAATTGATCTTAAACTTTACTAACATATGGTTTGCCAGAATCACTCTACAAAGAATCAAAACAGGATCATAATGAAGAATCAAAATAGACAGATATCAACTCAGAAAGTAGATGGTCACGATGTAGATATCAATCGAAAAAATAGATGGTCAATACCACTTGCTCCATAATTAGGAACAAAAGTAAAGATTACAAACTAGAAAGTATCATGAGCTTCAAACGTATGAGAAAGATCAACCTGCAAGAGCAACCAAGAACTTCGATTACAAAAATAAATGGGAGAGTAGCAGAGATACACAAAGGCTAACACAGGAAAATATGTGTAGTCAAAGTGTTTGGCATGAAAAATGTTGAAGGACCGAACACTTGGTGTTCATAAAAAACATAGAAATTTAACACAATATCTAAAAAATCAAACAAAAAAGTAATATAATCAATAAATTTAACACATTTAGCTGAGTGGAGAATTTGAGATCAAACCGAAGATTAGAACTACTTGTGGAGATGGAGAAATCAAACAAACGTAGAGTCAGAAGATGAAGAAACTGAGTGGAGAATTTGGGAGAGGTCTGGTTTGGCAGTGGTGGAGTGAGGAGCAAGATCAACCTGCAAGAGCAAACCAAAATCTATCATCACCCACGGATTTAAGGAACAAAAATTTTTGGTCCCATAAGGGTCTACAAGAATAGAAACAGTTTGTAGAAGGGGGGGGATGAATACAAACACAGTATTTTCAAATTTAAAATATATATTGATAGAGAAGATCAATACAGATTTTACAAGACTGTTTGCGGAAAGATAAGGTAATGAAAACCTATCTAAACAATCTTTGGTTACACACAGATCTTTAGCAAATACAAGAAAAAAGATTGCTAAAAGGAAGATCCTTTACATAAGCTAGAAGTTGCTTGAAGTAAGAATAAGGTTAGAGAGAGATGC